TAATAAGTAATAATTTTAATTTACTGACTTCAGCAAAGTTACAGCTCCTGATTCAGTTATTAATGCACAAGTTGCAATGTGTACAGGTGATAATTACAGCAACTGGTTTTCAATTTCAGTTTTTAACAAAGTATTATATTCTCTTTTTAGATCTATGGTATTGTCGTATAGTAAGAAAAAGATCAGATATTTGTTAAATGATCACAGTTTGTCCTACAGAATGTAGCAGAGTTTCAATTCTTTTAGACTAAAACAGTAATGCAGAAAAAAATAGAAATACAAGCCACATCTGCAGTAAAACAACTGGGTTGCTAGACAAGAATTCTGTGGTAAGCAACAAGTGAAAATGACAAGTAAAAATATAATTAAAGGCTATGCAACTCTATGCCCTGCTTCCTGCTCTTCTGCCCCACTGAGTTTCCAAAATTCACAGCAAAATTCATTCAGAAGCTTTAAAACATAGATTTTGTATCAAATTTTCAAGGCTGTATAGACACATACTGCAGAGAGTTTACTGCTTGGATCTTTGTTCAGAGATAGGCAGGTATTCCTGGAAAACGAAGTGGAGGAGAGGTTGGGTTATGCCATGCCATGAAACACAATGCTGGGCAGAGGTACATCTTCAGCTCCCGAAACCAGTGTAGCTCGTCACAAATAGAATTGTATCTTGAGCTAGCCAATGCTGTGTCTAAGAAGGGAGAGGTTGAGCAGACTGTAATGTTGAAGTGGCTACACTACTTCTGTTCCTAGAGCAGAATTCTTGGTGGTGCTGCACTGAGTAGGTGTACCTCATGTGGCTGCAGGGGCATGAAGTATGAGGCTGGGACGCAAACAGCAGGGGCTGCATTACATGGGAAACTATCCAAACTCACTAGAAAGCAACCTTTAAGTGTATACACTTGAATATACCTGTACAGTATGATGCAAACCTTGTTTTTCTAAACAGAAAACTTCCAATTAGGGGCTTTTGAGTAAATCTGTAAATTGTTTCCATTTCATAATGCCTTCTGTCCTGAACAAGACATTCAGCAGATCTTTCTTCTGTATTATAAACTCTCTGGATGGCGGCACACAGTGGTTATTAATATTCACTACAACACTGTTCCCCGATGATTCTTCTTTATCTTTTCCTGATTTTCGTTTTGTAAAATATGATGCATACTAAAAAAAAATGTTCTATGTAATAAAGCTCCACTGACAAACTTAATAAGAACAATCTGTCCCTCAGAGCATTCATTACAGAAAACGTTTCTGCCACAACCTTGCATGGATTTCTGCAGAACTGATGTAAGAGCTCACTAAGTATATTTTTGAAAACCTATGTCCCAGTTCATTGGATCACAAATACATGTCTGCCAAATCTCTCTCTCACTGCAGGAAGAATTCCAGAATTATGCTGTACCACCTCACTGACCCAAATAACAACACATTTCATTAACACTTCCTCCAATGAGAAACATATGCATTAAGTACCATTATCTCCCTTGTGACACTACATGGGATTTTACCAAAAATGTTAGCCAACAAGATAACAAGTCCAGTGAAGCTGAGCTCATATATTATGCCAAAGAAAAAGCTCAAGTTTCGTGTAGAATTTCATAGCTCAGGACCCAGTTTTGGGGTTTTTTTAAAAAAAAAACAAAAAAAAAAAAACCAAACCCCTAAACCCAAACAAAAAGTTTCCAATACTGAAAAATCTTCTAATTGTTTTAAAGTTTCTTCTAACAAACCACCCTTCTTTCACGATTCACTAAATAACGTAGTTTTGCAGCTTTTAGACATTAAAAATTTTTTGTTTCTATTACAGTTAATTATTTCTCAATGAAGTTTTTAGTAAGAGAGTCTTTTGATTGCGATGACACAGGAGAATGAATTTTTCTCAGGACTTACATCACTTCTAAATAAAGAATATGCAGAGAATGAAATTTTAATTGCAGACAGGCATGTTTGGGAGCTTAGAGGTGGGGTGGTGGTTTCAGGGTGGTTTTGGGGGGTTTGTGTTTTTTTTGTTCTGCTTTGTTTTTTGGGGTGGGATGTTCTGGGGTTTTGGTTGGGTTTTTCTTAAAGCAAACGCCACAGAGTGGGAAAGATTCAGGCTGGTTACATAAACGGGCAGAGACTGTCAACCACACCCCAGGAGTAATGTTTTCAAAAAAGAAAGGAAACAAAAAAGAATACCACATTTTGCACAGTACAAAATCATCGTAAGCCTTCATTTGCAAAAGCAACTGTTCGTATGTGAATAATCCCCCTGGCTTCCTAATACTCGTGAATTCACTCAAACATGTTTTTGCAAATGCGCTGCGAGACTAAATTGTAGGACTGAAACCATCACCCTTTGATACACTGACATCCACAGTTTAAACAGCCCTGTTGAAGTTGTGTCAGAACTTCTGCAGTCATGCACGCCAGGCTTTCTCAGTTTGGCAGACATTCAGACATAGGCTTCTGCTTCTTCAGTTCAGTGTGTGACTCTCCATAATTAAAAAGCTATCTTTTACCCATATTTTACGATCAGCTGCAGGAAATGCAGTGAAATGCATCTCTTCTTGCTGAGAATGGGTACAATCTCATTTGCCAACTTTGTATATGAAGGAAGATAGTATGTAATTATAAACTGTTTCATATTGCAGTGTGTATCTTCAGGACAGCTATCTCCCTACAATACGAACCTCTCTTCATAAAAGCAGCAAAGCATCACCCCTCCAATGAACATGCTATAGCCTACTCCTCTGCTAATTAAAACCTTTAGATGAAGCAAACTACAGAGCATTATTTCTCCCAAAACATCACACTAAAGCTAAAGTAAGTAGAACTAGGACTCACTCACAGATAATTCCAAGTGCACTTAACTGTTACCAGAAACTGCCAACAATTTTTTTCGTGCTTCTTTTGGTAGTATCAAAAAGAAAGTGATTATCATATAAGGTGACCATTATTATAAGGTGAAAAAAAAGGGTGATTAAGAAAGAAACTTACCATTGGCCCTGGCTTCCCAGGCATACCATGCTGGCCACGTCCACCCTAGATATGAAGATAAATAGACAGGACTGAATATTTATAACAACTCTAACTGATTTTATTTATTTATTTGTTGTTAGAATTTGCTGTAACAGCTACACATACTAAAGAAATCAAAGAACTGCTGGACTGTAGAGCCCTCCAAACACTGGCATGGAAAACTTTCGGAAGAAATTATGCTCCCTTTCGAGTTAATGGATTTCTCTGATTCAGAGAGGCCAGTAGTTAGATAGTCTCATTGTACAAGTACATAACATAAATGGAGCACGTAAGTGTCATGGGCAAAAATGCATTAAAAAACAATACTTGACACTGGATGTAAAGCAACAGAAATAAATTTCTGCTCAACTATGATCTCATGTCAAAGCTAATCCCACTTTTTGTTGAAAATCAAAATTCTTAAAGACAACAGTTTTATTACCAGCAATTAAATTATAAGACTTAATTTAAATTGAAAGTCTAAACTTTCATTTTAAACTTTTCTCCAGAAAAAATAATACATATTATTTCTAGTTCAGTAATTTTTGGTAAAAATAGCCTCTTGCAGAAATTTCATAGAAAGGAAGATTTTGTATCACAAAAATATCAAGTGCTGTGAGGGTATTTCACCTTATAGGCAGCTCTGTTATAAGAAAGTACCATATAGCATTCTCCTTTCAAAACAGTCAATTTTTAAAAACTAGAGTAAAGGTTTCACCCCACAAAACTCTGCTCAGCCCTAACTTTCTTAAGTTAGAGCAGAACTCACCATGGAATTGAGTAGCAGTCACATAAATAAACACTTCCAGGCCCAGGGATTTACATTTAAGTAAAACATGGGAACAATTACAAGGCAAGAGAAGGAAGATGCTACTTACAGGGGCACCTTGTGGTCCAATTCGACCTCTTTCTCCTGGCATTCCTCTAGGTCCCTTGAAGAGAGAACAAAAAGCACATTATTTAGGAGCTCATCATGGCAGAACGGAAAAATGGGGAAAACAGTTCAGTTGATTCCTCCCCATTCCTCCCATAGTGGAGAGAACACATGCCACCTCCTCTTGTTTTTTTCTTCTTTGCTTTTTACTTTTTTAACATACTTCCTTTTCCTTTGCTTCAAGTTTTATACTGCATCACTCTCCAGTCATTTTTCTGCTCAGTCTTCCTCACTTGCTTTTAACAACAACATGAATAGGTTTACTAAGACTACAAGCACAGTAAGGACAGATGACGTGAACAACAGTGACAGAACCAACTTGTATTTTTTTTCCTCCTGCAAGTGTGGCTTATCTTGTCCTACAGCAGGAAAAAAGTAGCAGCTTACATAAACCACTGCAGCCTCACAGGCTTGCCCAGTGGAAGTATAACAGACTGTGATTTCTCTTTTCCAACAGTATTTCCTATTCCAAAAGTATTTCCCATTTTAAACACATTAGAATTCTGTATATACTCACCAGGGACACTAATGCAATCTCATTATTTACTACATCTCATTCACAAACTAGGTTCCACTTCAGGGATATTACATTCTGCATGACACCAGATAGATAGTGCTTCACAGAGAGATGTCATTATCAGAAGGTGTTTTACTTCCAGAAGCACCACTGAGAGTCTATTTTTGGCATGTTACACTGCTCACAAGTATTAAGTTGTCCAAAACTACATCTGAATGAAAACTACTCATTAAAATTCCTATTGGCAGTAGCATTTACAATCTTAAAGCCATTTATGTAATATCCCATGCACACGACACTCACTAGGGGACCTGCTGCACCCATGGCACCTGTTGGTCCAGATTCTCCCTAGAAATGGAAATGAAATTACACAATTAGAGGAAAATGGAGTTACACGTTTCATCCCTGTGTTCCGTGCTTATGTTAGACCTTAGAGGCAAATTTGCATAGTCACCTATGTACATCACACACATCAAGGGCACTGTTCCCCCTGCTGATGGGAAATGCCATATTTACATATTTTCAGTGAAGCAGATTTAACTCCTACCTGTTGCAGCTAACTGCCTGCACCACCTACTGCACTGCTTCTACCAAGTCTTCTGCTGTTGTTGCCTCCACAGAAAGTGGTAGGCAATCTCAGGAAAGCAATCTTCTCTTACACAAACTCTCCTTAACGACTGATTTCACATTGAAATTTAGATTTTGGAAGAGTCACTTCATTAATAGTTCTGTTCCACCTGTAATTGTCACCTAACTTTTCAGCATCAGCACTGATCAATGTGGGAAAGCCTGGAAAAGTGCCCTATGCCCTTGAGCCCATCTTGAAAGGTTTGACTCCAGCTGGCTATCCTGTGTTACCACTGCTTTGAGCTGACATTGCAAAGGTGCTGCAGTAGCACTGAGAGTCAAAAATTCTGAGAGAATAAAATCTTTAGGTGAAAAATAGTCAGTTTTAGAAAATATATTCTCTCTTTTTCCCGCTGCCTTTTAAGGTACAGTTTCTTTTAAGCCAACCTCTAGTATGGTAATCTGAAAGGGGAGAGCCAGGTTTTAGGTATGTATCGTGATATGATATGATGTGATGCTACATTTATATTATATTGTATTGTATTATATTATATTATAAATCTAAACTGGCCAAGATTTTACAAAATTACAAGATGTTCATGGGCTCTTAGTTAACAGGCTTTGCTGTCTTAGTATTATATATTTGTCATGGATGGACAACAGTCAATTCACCCAACGATATCTTACAGGCCTAAAACTGAGCTCCATCTGAAACTGACTGGCTCTATTGAACAATCTTCCTGTATAAAGCCCAGACATGTCATTTTATAGCAGTTTATATGAATCAAACACACAGTAAAAATGGGCAATACCACTTAGCCTCTCCACTTCATATAAGTAAATAGCACTGACAGGAAAGGCTACAAAGCTGTGTTCAAAACAGCTATCTTACATCATTTTGGCATTATGGAAAACATGCTTAAGAATTTAGTTCTTTGGGCCACAAAAATACCTTTGCTCCAGCTGCTCCAATTTCACCTTTTGGACCGTCAAGTCCTTTCAGTCCCTGTAAGTTACAAAAATATTAGAAAAGTACGTTTATATATGTAGAGACAGAGAGCATTCCTACTGTTGTTGTTAAAATAACTCAATACTAGTGTCAAGAATAGATCTGAGGTGGTAAGAGTAAGAAAGGAAAAAAATAAAGGAGAAAAAAACAGATGGAGTAAAGTTTTTAAACATTTCCTAAATGGAAACCATTTGTACAAGGTACATTTCCTCGGATTTGGTTTCCTTTTTAAAAGAAGAACATTAAAAAAAAAAATAAAATCCTAAAACAACAAGGAGGTGGCTCTGAGCCATAGAAATCCTATTTATTCCTCCCTAAAGTAAAATTCTGGACAGAAAACTTGGTAATGTGTAATCACTCTGTGTTGCAAACATATCCACCTCTCAAGTTCCCCACCCTAATGCAAGACTTGCCAACAAAGTGAGAGAATTGTCAGGTTTGTGCCTCCTGAAGCTTGGCAAGGCTCAGGAGAGCTGCTTCCAGATTCCCAGAACATTTGAAAATAGAGTGAAGAAAGGACTGGAGACTATAATACAGAGGTCAACTTAAAGAGGAATAGCATGGATTTTCTGCAAAGCCCTCTCTCGATTGCCAGTAATTCAGCTACAATTGACAGGTCTATAGTATAGTCAAATTCACCAGAAATACAGAAAACATTTAGTATCTTTATACTGAAACATCATTTATAAGGAGAGGGAAAACCTTGTCTCTTACCCTGTGCCCCTTGAGACCTGGGAGACCAGGAGCACCAGGAAAGCCTCGAGGCCCCTAAATAGGAAAAAGAAAAAACAAGTAAACTCATTTACATAATTTACACCCATGTATGACCCAACCTCAAATTTCAGTAGAAGTAACAAAGTAAAAGCAGTGGTAGATAAAGTTTTGAGGCTCAGTATGGAGAAACCTTAATTAGACAGAGACCAAAACTATCATTTGAAATAATTAGAAACTGAGACCAAACTGCAAAACGTTCTTTCAGAATGTATCAGTCAAGTAGCATGATAAGCAGCTGCTATTAAACATATTTAATAATAAATCCAGAGTTGCCTTACACTTAATTTTCTATCAGGTTTCCAGATCTCTCTGTCAGGAAACGCTAAGTAACGGAAGGGAGCTGGGTGCCTCATGTTAGATTACTGGTCACATGAATTTATAATAGAAATCCCATTAACACCTTCATACTCTCAGATAACAATTCAGCAAACTGTTTAAACATATAATTTCTTCTTTTGTGGTACCTCTGAAGCAAAGGTGATAGTTTGTACCTTTCAGCATAGAAAAAAAAAAGCTACGGTACAGAAAATGGAGCATCATGAAGCAACACTGAAATTCAGAGGAGCAAAAAAGAACAGCTGAGATCTCAGCATTAGAGAACTTCACATACAGACAAGCTGTATTTCCTTATTAGCATGTATGTAAGAAAGGTCTTTGCCTTCCCTTCAATTATATGGGTAATGTTTGATCATAAAATTCAGTAAGTAATTATTCCAGATTTTGCAGATTCCTAAAGAAAAAAAAAATAAATCATGAGGGTATGAAATTTCTGGAATTAATAGATTGTTTGAAATTAGGCTTAATGAGTTTCTCAGTGAAGAATGATCTCTGTTGCCATACAAGATCTTGCATGTATATTTGAAATTGTACAAATTATGCTTGTTTGGACTGAATGTAGCCCACAAAAAGGATTCATTTGGCCTGTGCTCAGTTTGTACCATCAGGGCAATTAATGCTGAAGCACGCATATGGGACAAGTCACACAGCAAGAAGGCAAATTACGTACAAGGGGAACCCGCCATCAATCTCTGTAGCAGTCTACAAGCTTGTCCTTGATCAAGACATGGCAGTACTCTGATAAAATATTAAGGTACCCAGTTGTATTCTCTTCAGCGCTATCCAAATGCAGTAAATCTTAATGAGATTTTGTGTGTATGTGTGCAGTTGTAGTACTTTTTTCCTTCATGAGAAACTCTTCTGAAAGATGATTTTATTGAGCAAAACAGCTTGGTCTGAACAGATCAGTACTCCACAGATTACATTTGCCTCATGCAGCTTAAAAAACATTGTCTTTGATCCATAAAACTTATGAGGAAAGTTTAGGAAACAACATTGTCTTGTTAAAAAACCTGTTTCTCTCTCCAAGAGATCACATCTCCAGTTGCTAAAAAAAAAAACCTGCCACGCAGTCACTGGATGCTTAAAAAGAAAACAAGGCAGCTTAAGAGATGATACATATCAGATGGCTTCAGTTCTGGAATTTCTCCATTCCCTTTCCAGCCACACTACAGCTCCCTTCCAGGTACAGAAACTTGACTGATGAGGGTAGAACACTTAATATGGGCCAAAATGATATATGTTTTCTTTTATTTCTCGAGTGAACCATGACAAGTATCCTCTGCAGTACAAGCACATACTATTTGGAAATCCTTTATTCATATTTGCATAGTGAAAATACATATAAAAATAAAATATATATGCCTATGATAAATACCCTCTTCCCCTGCCCTCAGACTGACTCTTATGATGGTAAAGAGTGCCACCCCAGCCTGACATCATTCTAGAGTCTCTGAGCACTTCCTGCACGATTGTGGATGACCATGTGAAATACTGGGAAATGGGACTACAACTTATGTACAATCACCTGTTTTATGTGTATTTTATCAACGAAACAGTTGAAATGTGCACCTGCAAAAGGCCTCTCAGGATTAACTCAAGGACCTCTCAATAACCTGTTTGGTTCTGAGCTATCACACTGATCTGGATTATTAGAGTAAGCTAACACAAGTATTTCAGAAATTGAATGGCAGAGCTTTGCACTCATTAAGAGAGGTAGTGATGATACAAGTATGATCATTTTGCTAAAATGTAAATAAGCTCTTACTGGAGATCCTGGAAATCCAGGCTCACCGGACTGTCCTGGTCTGCCAGGTTCACCCTAAGGAAAGAAAAAAAGGAACATATGAAAATAGCAAATGTGAAATTAACTTCTTTTATCATTCTTGCATTCAAACAAATGAGGACATTCACATCAGTGTTATGTATCTTCTCTTCACTGTAACAATTTCAATGATAAAAATCAACTGCACACATCACTAACAGTGTGCATGGGACACATTAGCTTGAAATGGTTTTTAACAAAGAATTGCAGGAACTGAAGACTGGGTCCAAAATGCATCTCAGCATCACAAGGTGGCGCTGCAAGGCAGTTTTCCTGTGAATTACTTGAAGCAAGCTTTTGTCATCCTTGCACAGAGTCAAATTACTTTAATTTTCCATAGAAACAGCAATCTAAAACTGCCTGTGTTGCAACATGTTACTTCTTCTGTTCAAATGTTTTAAAATGTCTATAATTCCATTTTAGACAGGTGACTATTTTCTGTGTGATGCAATAGAAAGGAAGATGTGGTAGAACCAAGTAAGAATATTTTGAAGATTATGCAAAGTCCTCCACAGTCACAACCAAACACTCCTTTACATGCATCAACCAGTACAAATACATCCAGGACTCTGGGCTGCAGGAATGTGAAAGACTTCAGAAAGATAGTTTCTGGACAGAGAGAAGGTAAAGTGCTTCACAAACACAATTAAAGAAACCCATACATACACTGGTAATGGAGAACGCTCTTAGAAAAGTACCAAGATTTGGCTTCACTGCACTGAGAATTAACTGGTTCCAAAGATTCTTATAACTCCTTGTAGAGTTTAATAGGAAAGTAGCTGTTACACAAGCTATGGTAATTTTTACACTAAAATAATTGGCACCTGCAGTTTTGAACTGATTTCTAAATTACAATTCAGATGGATTTACTGTGTTTTGCAACCAAATAATATATATCTACCAGTAAATTCTTAAGCTATTGTTGCGCAGTACAGACATACTTATACAACATGTATATTACATACATTTTACATATATGTGTACAGTCATGGATAGAGTAATAAAATGACTATAAGAAATCATTAAGAAGTTTAAAGAATGTAAATACTAAAATTTTATTGTCCAGTTCCACGTATGTGTTATCATTACAGTTCTTCTAACTCATCAAGTGATTCCAAAGAGGTACCTCCAACTGCCCCCTCGTATCTGTGGTATATTATTATGCCTGATTTCAAGAAAGACATCTCAGTTGAAGAACTGGCTGAGGCAAGAAATAATAAAGAGACAGCACTTAAGCCTTAGGTACAAAAAACAAGGACTGTTTTGAAAAGGGGTGCTAAGATTTATAATTATGACACTGCACTTGATGAGGAGTATGATTATAAACAAAAGTAGGGGTAAAATTAGTTACAACAGGCATATCTGCAGGTTAGACACTGTCTCAAAGATGCCAATATTTGTTTTATTAAAAATAAAACAAGGTAAAAAGAATAGCAAACTTACATCTTCACCAGGTTTGCCTGGAGGTCCCTCTGGTCCACGGGAACCAACCGGACCCTAAGAAATAAATAAATTTGTTGAGAAGTCACTAGAAATATCACTAAAATATTTATTTGCTCCATTTCAAAGTCTGGTTTTATAAAAACAGGTATAGAAAAAGGATGATTTTTTGCTTTATTTTGTGGTGCTCTTTCTAATCACCCTGACCAAAAGAAACCTGCATTACATTATATAAAAATATAGGAGAGATTCTTTAGGAGAAAACAATACATTAAAAATCACAGCTGCTGTTATTCTAAAGCTCTGGTTCTTGCTTTTACTTTTGAATAACTTTATTGCTTTCAAAAAATAAATATTCTCATCCTTTGTGTGCGTTACACTACCAAGTAAAATTTTACTAGTGCTTAACCATCCTCAGGTCTGTGCTGGGAAAGTAACAATGTTTATAATCATTATTATGCATGTTCAAAACAATTCAAATTCATTGATTCAGGACAACATGCTTTGAACACCACAACTCGACTGAAGTTACTCAATGGCTTCAGCTGAGACAACACAGAAAAAAAACCCTGTTCTGAAGTAAGGAGGTATAATATATTGTTTGCAATTCTACTGTAGAAGTGTCTTACCATAGGTCCTGGATCCCCAGGTTCACCAGGTGGGCCTGTGGGGCCAGCACCACCCTAAAATTAACCAAAGATGAATACAGTTACAAATTCTAAAAAGTAAAACTATAAGGATATAGAGATTAAAATCTATGATGAGGACAATCACAGCCCACGGGACAATCTGGATTCTAATTCAGAACCAGCTCACATTTCCAAACAAGTGAAAGTTGGATACTAGCATCCCAGAGGCTTTAGATAAATCCTGTGCCATATACAAATCCAAGTGGCAATTTAACACCAGGCTAGTACTGAAAGCAGAACAGTCACCATTTTCATTGCTGTTCGATGCGTGTTGGGTTAAAATCTTGTAACAGGTCTAATATATGTTTGGTTTTGAGTTAATTTCTGTGTATAGAGTGCATCTAGAGCAGAGCTCTTGAGAGCAGCATGTTTACATTCACCTCTGAAGATGCTTTCACCCGTCACTGAAGATGGACATTGCCACAGAGATGAATACACCACCCGCACCAGTTACCGTGTGCTTTGTCTTCACCTCTAACCTGAGGTGAAGTACTTACCTGTTTTCCTTGGAGACCTTGAGGACCTCTTGGACCCACTGGACCCTATCAAAAACAAAACCTGTTACACACTGAAGAACACCCTTCACCAAGTAACATTCATCCTAAAAAGACAGCAAAATTGTCTGACAGTGGCCTCCAAGATAACATTTCTTTGGTCTTTTACTTCGGAGAATGATGTTATGAAATACAAAATTATATAGGATGGAAATCTTCAAACTCAAAAAGACACAGGATTATAAATTCTTTAGCAGCTGAAAATATGGGCGTGCTTGCTTTCTGGAACCTCACAGTCTCTGGAATCAGTCAGAATAACCAGGTTGCCTGTATAGCTCCACTGGAAAAAACTCTAGTGACAGAACTGGGGGGGAACAGCCTACCCTTGAAGGGAATCTCATTACTCAGATTAATCTCCTAATGGAATCAATGACAAAATAAATGAATGCTGCTCTTCTGAGCCATGGGCTGATATGCAGCAATGGAGGGACGTATTTTCAAGCATACAAACCACCAAAACAGCTTCCAAACGGCTGTGGTTTGTTACAGAACATCCAGACTTCCCTGTAAAAAGTTTCATGAGATTCTTAGCAAAAACCTCATGCTTAATTGTGACTTGTAATGCAAGGTAAACATAAACTCGTCTGAAAGTATCTTCTTTTTTCTATCAATACAACATCATCTATAGCAGACAATATCTTGCATTCTGACAGGGGCTCAAGATTTATTTTCTTCACACACAATTCATGATTTTTTACTAACTTTTACAAAGCAAATGTAGAAGAGTTAGTAATAGGCCTTTTAGAAATTCGAATCAACATTAAAACCAAACCAAAATACAATGATTCAGCTGTCAGTTACTCAGTTTACAAGGGAAGGAAAATAGGACATCACAGAACATGATGAATCAACACGAAGACAGCGAGTGCCCAGTGAATTAGTAGACTTTGTATAAGGCCTTAGAAAGTCCTAGATAGATTAATATTCAAATGAGTCATATTTGAGAACTACTAAAGAGGCGGCCATATGACAAACACAATGTCTTGAGACAGATCCAGTGAAAGGATTAAGCAAAACAGTGGAGGGCAGCAAAGTAAGTAGGACAGCCTTGTAGAACAAACCACTGTATGTGCACACAGCAAATTCACTGAAGAGAGACATTCATAAAAAAGATTTATTTGAAGAAATCACCACAAAAGTTAAGCAAAACATCAGATTATCTTTAGAATCTGTCAAATTGCATTGAAAGTGAGTCTGAAGGTTACTAGTGGGGAGTTGGAGGAATAAGATCCACATACACAAACTCATGGACAGTGCAATCACTAAAGGATGGTTTTATTATGAACGAATGTCAAAAATAACAGCAAAAAGGGAAACAGTGTTTTCAAGATATCACAATATGATAGATACACGTAGGGAAAAGAGATAACGTTCAAAAAGAACACGAAGTTCTAGCAGAGCCAGCTTATGGTGGTGAAACAGCTTTCACAGATGGCAAAAAATCTCATTAAATCTCCAGTCTACTAAAAATGAAGAGGATATCTGAGTAGTAAGAGATGTCAATTGTAAAACTGGACCCAATAGAGAACTAAAATGTCTGTCTTAAAATAATAAAGCAGAACTTTCAGTTAAGCCTGGGTTTCAGAAATACGTTTTTTACTACCAAAGATAACTATCTCTGATATCACTATGTGAAAAGAAGCCTTCCCAGTCACATATTTGTTTATTCTGCTTTGTGTTATAGCTGACACTTTTCAGTTACTCTGCAGCGACTCAAGATACAAGAAAATCAGGAGCTGGTTTTTTTCCTGTACCTTAATGTTAGTAGCTGCTATGCTGCAGAAAGAGGGAAGGAAGACAACAAGTAGGCTAGAGGTGGAAAAAAGTGCTTTCACTTTAACAGAAAGCACTTTAACAGAATATGTTTTCACTTTAGTCCAGGTACTGTGCAAAGCTGCAGAACAATACACTGTTCTATAGGCATAGGAATTTGAAGAGGATTGAATCCTCTTTGGGTTTTTGCATTTGCACTGCACTTCCATCCAGTCCTACAGTACAGGGCTGATCTGGTCTTACCACTGCACCAGGCATCAGTCCCATCTGACTGCCAAGTCCAGATTTCTCATCCAGTCCTGCCATCTGAGCTGAAAATGGCTGAAAAAAATAAGATGGATGATTTTAGCTGTCAGTCATTTTGATGGTTCATAAGACAAAAATGCATGCAACCATATCTTCATTATTTACACTGGCTTTGCAGCCAACTAAACAACGAAATAAGTTCTAAAGTAAACAACTAAATTATTCTTTTAATCACTAGAAGTTGTATTTCCTATAAATTTGAGGTGTTTAAGGCTTCAAAGACCAGCTGAATACATCATATTGCCTGCTTACTATTCTGACTCTATCTCCACTTTAATATTAAACAAAAGGGAAAATTGCCTAAAAAGAGGAAAGCCTCCCATGGAATCAATTAGATTTTTTTCACCACCTTAAAATTTAAATTACACCTTAATTTCATCTGCAATATTCCTTCATGTCTTCTAAGTCTTTCTTTTGTTTTCAATTGCTGTGCTTCAAGTTCAGAAATATTTTAAGATAAATGGAAATGTAGCTGATTTTATGATTGCAGATTATAATTTTTAGCATGTTGCCCTTATCCAGCAAAGCTGAAGGCACTGCTGCTCATGCCAATTCACAGAGCCAAATGAGTTAAAGCAGGGAGAACCTCCAGTGCCCTCGTCCTTCTGTAAGCACATAGTTGAAATCAACAGTTTCATTTTGCTTCATTCAGAGCCAGATCCTCACTCATGGCAGGCTGAGAAGGAGGAACAGCAAATGTGCATTCAGGTCTTTTATGAGTCAGGGTTTGTTTCACATCTCATTGGTCCCCAAACACATTTTCCACAAGGCTGGAAACTGCCTAACTTCAGAGACTGCAATACAAACCAAAAATGTCTTAGATCTCTGGCCACACCTATTCTTTCATATTTTCTGTGGATATCTATAATGGATGGTGATCTAACACCCATCCCTGGTACTTCTGTGATTCTAAGGGATTCCTCTGTGCTGGAGATACTTACTTGGGCTGAATCTGGTGGATTCAGTTTGGAAATGTGGTTCAGTCAAGAAATGCTGCCTAAATTTGCAAGCCACTGGACTAACATGAATATTTCAGGTTTTTGCCAATACAACTCCACTGTTTTCAGTAACATTGCAGGAACAAGGGAGTGGTAAATTGTAACAGCTATCTTCCAAACAGCAGTAAACATGTAAATGAATATATACTTGATAAATTCAAACACGTATTTCATTATCAATCATAAATAGGGTTCCAAAGAATTGAGGAAGTGGGGGGAAGGAGTCCTGCAGAACATCTTGTCTGTATCTAGGGCTGGTTAGCACTGCTTACCTTAGTTAATCTTCTCGTTGTTGGTCTGAACAATTCCAGCAAGAAGTATACTTAGCCATATTTTAATTTCTCTCATTAATTTTTCTGTCATTTATAAATCTTATTTTCTTTCTTTTCTGTATTCCTAATTTGGTACACCAGTTTCCCAGTGCTATTGCCCAAAACCATTGGGTTTAAGTCAGGTAGAACTAACAGAACCCTACTAAGGGTTTTAGATTTGGGCACCTAGGCTTTTCTAGATGCTAAAACCCATTGCAAAAGGTGTATCCCTTCCAAGGTTTCTCACATTCACTTGTCCCAGTTCTTTGGCAGAACTTGCCCTGCCGCTAGCTGCTGTCCCTCTTGACCAGGAGACAGGAACTGTGTTCCATGTTCACTGAAGAAAAGAGAAGTTACTTCTTCTATCATGTGGGTCTGGCCTAACACTCACTTCACTTTCTGCTAAAGCAAGTGTAACACTTACCCTGCTTATTCCATCTGGTCCTGGGTGGGTAGGATGCCCTGGGGGACCAGGGTCACCAGGCTGGCCAGGTATACCAGGTTCACCATCAATTCCTTGAGGACCGCGAGGACCCTAGAAAGAAAATCAGAAATGCCAACAGTGTGCAACGGTATTCATTAAAATCATTGTAACTGGCAAACCATTGCCTCATTTGTGATAGATCTGTATTTCTACAGAAAGATCTTCAAACAAACAACATCTCTCAAGACTTGTTCCTATCTTCCGGTCAAAAGAACAAGCTAAAGTTAGTCATGAATGCCACACACAGTAATTCCTATCACAGGCTTTTTAGGCAACTCAGGCTTCCTGCCATTCCATACTAGAGTATAAATTATTGCTGAAAAACTCTTTGGCTTTGCACATAGAATAGAATATCATGAATTTACTTCTAAAAGACATATAGCTCAGATCAATGTACATACATACACATTAAGGAAACTCCAGCGTACGGCTGGATTTCCAAAGCCTCCTGACACCATGAGTGGTTTGGACAGCTCATACTATTGCTGAGTTCTCAACACAGTTACACTGCAAAAAATGCAGAGTTAAGTCCCGCAGTGTTGATGTTATCTCTGGCTAGTATTTGCAGAATGGGCTAGGAAGCCATACCATTGCTCCCCACTTTTTATCCCTAAACAGCATTCACCTTATCTTGTATCAAAACTAAAATTAAATATGGAAGCAGCTAATAAACCATAGCAACAGGGCCAATAAAGATGTCCTTCAATCATAAATACAGACTTCAAAGTGCTTGTCACTACTGCTTTCTTCATTAGAATAAAATGCTTGACTGTGGTGAGGAAAAATTTTATATGTATAACAAGCTTGTCTATCTTAAGGATCCTTAAAGGATCCTCAGACATAAAACTTTGAAAGCCTGTTTCAGTGAGTCATCTTCACAAACACAGTTAGAATCAGACAGATATTGACTGTATTTCCATGCGATGAGATTTGTGTTTCCTTGCAGTCTGTGACACATTTCATGGAATGTATGTCTGAACTAATACTGTTTGAATTAGTATGGTTCACATGTTAAAGAAAAAAGCTTTCTCTTGGAAACGGGCTACACTGAGATAGCATCGGCAGTAGGAGTCCTGAAAACTCCCAGCAAATCAGCTAATTCTCTTAATTCTCAATCTATCTTTATGGTCTGAAATGCCTGTAAGCCTAGCAATCAGGGGAAAAATCTATTTCTTATCAGACATACATGTACACACACATCCCCCTAGTCACAGAATGAGTTGTGAATAGATGGTATTCTGAAACAAGTTAGAAGATTCGTGTATGTCAGATGGAAAAATAAGGTTCTAGCAGAAAACTTTATTATTTAATATTTCTTTTATAAACAGAAGTAGACACTGCCAAACCTAAAAGTGCATACTGTCCAAAGGAGGAAAAGAATGAGTCACCTTCTTTCGTTAGCTCTCAAAAGAAAAAGAAAACAAAACTAAACATGAGAGATAAACACAAAAGTTCCTATAAAGAATTAAGCAAGCTTCTATACAATAACAACCAATTTTCAATATCCAAACCATGGCACCTCAACAAATCTGATATAGAAAAAGGTGTTTCTTTTGTTTCTTTTTAGTAAAGGACCTACTTTTTGGTCACAAAAAAAATCAACCTGCTTCAAGAACAACACTGCAGTCCCCCATGTCAGAAACCAAAAGTCACCATGTTTGTATTTGTAAGTGGCGACTAAGCAATGGTATATAACCAATGGTTTTCAGCAAAATCATGATTATACCTTTATTTATTTTACCTTATTTATCTATGTATTTACATATGAAAAAAGCCCTTTCAGGTTCTTTCACCAGCTCAAGGTCAATGAGTGTAAAAAAAAATAAAAGGGAAAAAATGCTCATATAGGCCACGAGGTGGCACAGTTTAAACACGCAATTCACTCATTCTGGCCCATTGCTGCTGCTGCTCAGGAAACTATTACGGGTTTTGCCCATAATGGAATAAATGGAAAAGCACATCATGGTAGAACACTCTCAACCTACTGTCTATTTTAACTGCTACAGTAATTACAATCAAGTATAAACCGATACTCAAACAGAATATATCAATGTTTCTGAGGATGCTCAAGCTTATTTTCTATCTTCAAATGATCATTTCCAAACATCTAAAACACTGTCATGCTCCAAATGCATTTTGCAAATGCAAACATGCTATTCCCTACCTGTTTCACTGCTACACTAGCAAAGAATTTGAAGTAAAAAGCATGCTAACACTCCTGATTTCGTTTTACATCCAAGGGTCCTGCTTTTGTAAAAGGCAGGGATCCATAGCAAGGTAGAGCTCCTGCTCACTGGTCAGCAGGAGCTCATTTAAAGAACAAACAAACAAACAAAAATAACCAAGGAAACAAACACACACCTTAGAAATGTGCTTAGTGGTTTTGTAACAGCACCGGTCAGTAATGAATTTAGCCAGATTAATTTTATAAAGGGTGTCTGTACAAGGTTACCTGCTCCACGAGGGATTTTAAACAAGTTGCAGACAATGTGCAGAGAGGGTTTTTATAATATAACTGCAGGTGTGAGATAACATTTTTTTCCCCACTAGTAAAAATACAAAATCCTGCACTAACAGCCACTATGTATCTAAAAGTAGTGTTCTCTGGTCTCAGACCTACACTCTGACATGCACATCGCTCACCAGAACCTTTTGACATAACATTTTCAGAGAAGTTGATAGGTTCCTAACCCCTTGCTGTTCCTTGAAAGCATCATAATAACCTATGTCAAAGGAACTCAAAACTGGTTACAACCTTTTGGTATTTTAGGTGCTTCCAATCACCACTCTGTAGAGACATACAAGGGATGCATGGCACAGAATCAGAAACTACTTAATATCCCATTGATAATACTGCACATTGTGACAGCTCTTCAGATGTCTCTACTCAGTCAAGAGTCTTCTGTATACCACAAAACTTTACTCCCAGAATTCTTTTAAGGTCTTGATAGTTATTCATCAGAGAAACATCTTATGGTGATCTAGAGATCTGCAGTGGCTTGGCATCCACCTCAAAGAGGCTACACGCTTACCCCACTGCTTTAGAAGTGTCATTGCCATCTATGGACAACAGGCACCCACTGGAGGAACAGCACAAAGGAGTCACTTTTAGGCCTATGCCTAAACTCAGTATTGGCTTGCTCTCTTCTGAGGGATAGGAAAATATCCACAAAGAAATGACAATCATACAGCTCTTTAAAAACTGCTTTTTGCAGTACTGAAGCTCTTTGACCTAGCTTTTTCAACAGGAATGTGTCGTCTTTGGTATTTTCAGCACTCCCTTTTGGCCTTTCTGTGGTTCTCCGCACGCAGACAGTGAAATTCCCTTCTGAAGTCTTTATTTCCACTGAGCGATCTTGATTATATTATTCACCAGCATACCAACATACATAGTCACAAATTAACTCCTGCTAACTTCCTGAGCTTTGCCTTTACTCTGAGCCACACAGCTCATACTCCTTCTGATGCACCAGCAGAAAGTCAGCAAGTTCTTGAACAGGAGGACGTGATGTTCCAGTTTTGTCCTTTTCTTCTTTTTCTTTTTTTTTAAATCCTGAAGAAAGGCATACTCTCAGACATCACTTTGGGAAAGTTTGTTAAGGAAGTACAGCTTTTAGTGGGAATACTGCTAAAACTCTGTCAATTGTCTCAGAACAGTCAGGTTTCAAGCCACCCAGGGAATGGGGAAATAGAAACATTTTACTGTCTGTTACCTAATTCTTGGAAAATATGAGGAACATTCTGGTCACTCTGGAAGACATGGAGACTGTTTAAAGCCATCTAACCTTTTGAGGTTGCTCCAGTACTTGATTTCTGAGATACTTAATAACTTACAGGTCTTCCCTTTGGTCCTCGTTCTCCTCGTGGTCCTTGTGAGCCTGGAGGTCCCTAAAAGAAAGATTAGAAATACTAAGTACCTTTTAAACCAGCTAATGATTAATAAAGCTCTGAAAATATGAAATGCAATGCTTATTTGAAAATTAATTTGTGGGTCTGGGTTTTTTTTCACATCATCATGAAGAAAACAACTACGATCACCAAATATCCAGTATTTATTCTCTATCGCCTGCAGGGAGAAGAACCAGGATGCAGAGATCTACAAAATGCTTTCATCTCTCATGTGCTCCACAGGTTAATATAGCAAAGGGTTTCTGTGTGCTGGAAGCTCTTAACATGGAGATGAACAAGTCTGAGATATCCTTCCTGCTAGTCCAAAACTGCCCTCTGAGAATGCTGCATCTCCTTCTACTCCTGCTAGATCCCTGCCAGAAAAGCGTTCCCCAGAACCAGCCTCACACAGAAGTCCTCAGACACGCATGTATGAAAAGCACATGTCCATTCACTTAGGGCATGGGCTGACCTGAGACTAGTAAAACATCTCACAATCTTCTTGCCTCCTCAAATCCAGAATGGAAGAGTCCTCCTTCACATCATCCCCACAATACAAAACAGAAATGACAGAAAGTGGAAAATGCCATTGTCAGAGAAACAGAAGATCAGAAAATACTCACGGCTGGTCCCTGGCGGCCTCGTATTCCCGAAACCTAAAGAAGGCAATATAGATCAAAGTTACCACACAACATTATGGCTGTATTTGTCATGACTACCCTACGGAAAATCAGTTATTGAAAAGTAAGTAGCAAGAGAGAAAATTAAAGAACCAGTGAAGCTGTAAGGTTTTTTTTGGGGGGGGGAGGAAGTAAATAACAAGGTTCCACTAGTTATCTCTTTCCATTTTGGAGTCCTTTGATAAGCAGTATGAGCACAATCTTGGAAGTATCATTGTTATTCTAAAAAAGATTAAATAAATGTGTATTACAATGATTTAGTCTCAAGTTATTGATTCTTTTGTCTGTCTTCATGCTAGAAAGGTGTAATAAAGATAGAAAGCAATAATTCATTTCACCATCTTCCTCAAGTGTCTCTACACGTCCTAAACAGTCGTTTACTATTGTACGTCCACAAAATTCTAACTACGTAAGTAAAGATTACGACAGATTTAACTCAGTAAGATTTCTTCCCCATAATGCAATTGACAGGAATTGCTAACATTAAATATGTGAAACGGCAAAAATAATGCAATTCTTTTCATTCCTAGGCGGTACATTTTTGTTGCATTTCCTTAATTACTGCAATTCTGCTTTAAAGCAATAAAACACACACTTCTGGGGTGTGCGGATAAATGAATTAAAAATGGACTTACAGGTGGCACTATTCCAGGTTCCCCTTTTTGTCCCTGGAAGAAAGAGATGCAAAAATGTCAGATGGCAGAAAACAAGTAAAATTAACAGTACCAGTTTCACCAATACCATCCCTGTGACTGTGACGAGTGCCAAGAATTCTGTAAGGATACAACTGAGACTAAACTAAAGTACCTGCGATAGCTTATCCATAGAATTTTTTTACTGACTATGGACACTGATTAAATGAAGGCTATAAAGGCTATAAATTAACAGACTTTCTCTGACTGGATGAGAGAAGAGTCAAACTAAAGAAAAATACCATGATATTTCAGTACTGAAAACATGCTGTAGTTCTGGTTATTGGATGATTTGATCTATATGAAATGCAGAGCCCAGAGCAGCATTCAGATTCCATTTCTTCAAGGTATTCAATTAAAATTCGTATAATTAAATCTTTGGACATAAAAACCTGCATATCCATCTATAGCATAGAGACACAATACAAAATGATAGCACTCAGCTTCAGAGTGAAAGACATGGCATCTGCCAGCTGACTTTTCTTTGAGCTGAATGTGTTGACAATTATGTGTTACATAAAATAACTAGGTTTATACTTATTGGTGGTACCTGGGAAAAAAAAAGAGGACTTTGTAACAATAGAAAATTTCCTGCCTTGTTTATCAATTAATAATAAGCTGGTTACAGTCCATTTATTTCCATTACCTGCCTCTACATAGAGAGCTCCTCACAGTTTTAGGGAATGTATATACTTGATCACCTAAAAATTATTTCAATTATTTCTTTAGTTGCTTACTATCTTAGAGTCTTGTTTACCAGAATGTATCTTAATTTCTTGTATAAGAATAGATCTGCTCTTTAATTGCATACTATGAGAAATGCTGCCCACACAACCATGGCTTTGTGCAAGAATGCATTGCCCCACTGCTACCTACTGCACGCTGGGCAGCCAAGTCTCAGAAAAAAAAACCCATTCTGGCTTCTAATGACCTGCTTCTAATGACCTACTTCTAATGACCTACTGCTAGAGATGAAACAACCAAACTATTCAAACTGGAATTCCTTTGATGCAAACAGCTGGGATTTTCAGCCAGAGGATTCTCTATATTTAGACCAGGATTTTTGCCTGCATCCCAGCATTTTTTCCATGTTGACTGCAATCACAGAATACCAGGTTGGAAGAGACCTCAAGGATCATCTGGTCCAGCCTTTCTCTGAAAAAACATTGTCTAGACAGGATGGCCCAGGACCTTGCCCAGCTGAACCTTAAAAGTATCCAACGTTGGGGAACCTGATCTCCCTAACCATCAAAGCTGACCAAGAGGAAAGAATTAGGTGTTTCTGACAAACCCTATATTTAAATTCTGTGCTTCAAGGAGATTCTTTTAACAGTTGTAATACAGTTAAAAAACAAAAAAAAAGGAATTCTTACCTTTCTTCCTCTACCTATTAAAAAGGACAAGAAAAGAAAAAAGAAGGAGATTAATGTTTTTACTCTGACAGAGCATGTTAAGAGTTGAGTGTAGGTGTTGCAGCTAGGGCCTTCCCTAATCTTGGATGCACAGAACGTGGTGAATCGCCTAGCGGGAGCTGGGGAAGTTCCCAGAGACACGTGTACTCCCTTGTTCAGGTGTGAGGAACAAGAACGGTTTGTGATGGTGTCTCAGTCTGTTTGATGATTGTACAGAATAAGAAAAAGCACTTCAGGAAAGCAGAATATCTTATATTAGAGATTATCAGAGTCTGACCTAATGACTGACTGTGAAGTCAAAGGAAGCTTTGTTACTGACTTCAATACAAGCGATATTGATGGATCCACAGCATATTACATGGTATTTTTCAAAAGATAGAGCTGACTGAGGGACTTCAGACCTCTTCTTGTTTGAAAAGCACTCTCAATATCATGTGCTTGCATTCAGAGCCATATATCCACACTCATGTCCACACAAATCTTTCGGGGGGATATTTTATTAATACCTTGAATAACAGTAAGGAATTCTGGAATTTATCCATTCTGCTTTTATATTTTCTGGGTGCCCCTTATTGGTATTGGCCTAATGCCTCCCAAAACACAGCAGGATGCATCATCTATTTATTAATACTTGCCACATCTTGTTCCCTTGCTCAATTACACAGGTCCCTGCTACATGCTCTTTATCACTACCTTGTTCTATATTAAATTAGTAACAGCAATTATATCATCTGAAGCAATTACATCACTGTTTTATTATTTATAGAAAGTAGTTCAATACACAATATTAATAAGCATTAATTGAAAGTTAAGATACTTTCTTTTACGAACACTGAGGGGAGATTGCTTTATCCAAGTCTCTCCAGGAAGAAGAAAGGGACTGGAAAAGACATATCTTTGAGGTATATAACAAAAAGTATGTAAAACCAGGGATTTAATACTTCATGATAATTTTGATTCACATGTCTCACAAAAGGATCACGTGTCCATGTTTCCACTTTAGGGAAACACTTTATACCTTTTACATATAATGTTGACATTTATACATCAAATGGAGGGGCCTTGAGTTGAGCATTTTATTAAAGCATGCACTTATTTAAGCATGTATATTTATACAGTAAACGTATCTTTATCTTAATACGTTTATTATACATGTCTCTCTTAATGTATTTACCTTTCAGTTTGAGATGAACCACAAAAAGAAGCCAGAATTGAACCTCCTTGAAATATCAACATGGAATTCAGATCAACCTTTTAGTTATAAAGCCATTTGGGCTCATATCAGAGTCATAGTCAGAAGAAAACTGTTTCCAGAGCCAGCTCAAGTGCAACCCAAGATGGACGACAACTGCCAAGTATCTACTATTTTCAGATTCAAACTTTCACCATGGAAATACTATTAGAAGTTTCAGTATCGTGAGGTTCCTACTTCTTTGGGCTGTCTCTCCTTTCAAAAAAGCAAACTAGAAAGCAATCTTACCAATGGTGGTGTCAAAATCACGTGTTGTATGGGGACACACAGGACAGCACTCTCCTGGGGGCACCTGTGGGTTCTCACACTCCAGCACATCTTGACACTGGATTTCATCGCAAAGAATAGCTCCGTTGTCACAGACACAGATCTGGCATGGTGAGGGCTTCCAAATATCCCTGTTCAGGTACATCTGGCCATTCTGTGTGCAAGCTATTTCTTCAACATCTTCTCCTGGGATAGGAGAGAGAGAACACACAACACATTTTCCAAACGTGAAATCAAAGGAGGAGTAGGTCTGGATTAGCAAAGAGCACATCGGAACATGAGAAGCAGCGTCACATACATGAGGAAAATAGTCTACCAGCATGGCTGAAGTTGATACTGAGAATTTACTAAGTATCAGTCGTCTTAAATGTCTTTCTTATTTTACCACCTTATTTCTTGATCAGAAAGAAGTAAAACAGAGTTATCATGGAATGCACAAACCCACCACAATACTAAATGAACACTGCCTCACAGTCATTCTGGAATGGATGTCATTCTAGTATTAACTCTGTGTTGAGGAACTCCTGCCATTTTCCTGCTCTTTGTAACTGCTGTGCACAGGGCATTGGAGACATCTGACTGGGGACACTTCTACAGCACACGCTACCTGCTCCCTGCTGCAGATAGCTTACACAGCCAGATTTACAACAGCCTTGAACAGACATGGCAGAGTTTGTTGAAAAGAAAATACCTCATTTTTTAGGGTCTTGCTGTAAGGGTAACACCAACACAGAGAATCAAACAAGACAATCAATCACTGTCCACTGGCAATAGCAGTCTCCATTGCAAGGGTACTTGCAGCATCATCTCCAATTGAATGAAGAGAGGCTCAAATCACCTATTTTGCTCAGGTTTTTATAATCCAGCTGGCCATGGCCCTACATGATTACCCCAGCAGATGCATAGATTATTGCTATGGATATAGACGAACTGCACAAGTCACACATACTCCAAAATTATTCTCCTGCCCCCTGGGATACTGCAGAGAAGATTAACCTCATCCATGAGGGGAGCTCCACCTGACCACAGAAACATTCCTATCAAAAACGTCTCTGAAACCGGACAATCAGTTTAAAAGCATTATCTGACCATTCCCAAACAGCCCTAATTTCTGATACAAGAAGAGGAATAGAGGCAATTATATTTATATATGACACATTCCACTAGTCAAAGATCACGACGATTATATTTTAGGAAAACCTGTTGAGAGTGTAAAAATTAATAGCTGCAAGCACATAGACAGTTGTACTGTTCTATGCATTTCTGTCCTAATTTAAACCAGATGTATCAGGAAATCACAAAGTAATAAATATGAACAGATTTGGAATTTCAGTTTCATCCCTCAACTCAAGTCTAGTTACTCCATCAATGTCAGAGCTCATAGAAATGGAGCAGATGTGTCATTAACTGTTGCCTGCCATCACTAACTGCTGCAGCTTTCTAACAGAAACCGAAATCCAAATTTATACCAGGTCAGCTCCTCTCATCAATTAGTTCAAACAACTGACAAAATGACTTGAAGGGGTGCTGCAGAAGCTCAGGAGGAAATGTTTTCAGTGTGAAGTAAAGACATCAACCAAGTGTGCTGTACAGTCCATTTATGACACTGTGAGAATCATTTTCCAAACTGCAGATCGTATTATGGAAAGCATCCTTCTCTCCTCTCCCTTGTGTACATGACATAACGCACTGTCTGACATATTTAGCCTTTTCCCCCCAGATGTCTGGCATATGGTCTTTGTCTTCCTTAATGCATCACCCGCAGAACTCGCTGTGCTGGTCAGAAGAGCAGCAGTTTGCATAAATGAAATTTCTAAGTTACTGAGCCCAAAGTCAGCGTTCTGTCATAACTTCAAATAAACCACATAGCAACTGCTTTGGCATAGCAGAGCCGAGCCAGACGCTGACTAGCTTCTGCCTGGGTCACCCGCTCAGCAGCTGAGAAAGAGGCAGACAAAGGCAGGAGATAAAAAAGCACATACCAGCTTCTGGAAGTCTGTTTTACCATCAGATTGCTGAGAATGAGGGAAAATAAAAACCCACCACCAAAAAAACCCCAAACAAAACCCCAAAAGCAAAACCACCAAAAAAAATCCCCAGCCCCAGACCACTGCCAGAAAACACATTTTTAATATTATATATTTTAATTATGATTGGTGCTTTTAGTTTTCCTTCCTGCTGTAAGTGCATTACACAGAGAGCAATCTGAAAAGTGCAGCTATTTCAAAGCCAGCTCATCCCACAAGCACAGTTTGACATTTTACTCTCAGGCCTGAACTGCAGGCATGTTATTCATCACACCCAGGCCAGGAGAGGCAGCAAATTGTTCTACCATTTCCTCCCTGCTTTGGAAATCTGCAAGTTTTTTTGATTACAGAGACAAATTCACAAACTCTATGTCGCGTGTTCTTTCTACTTCTGCAGTTGTAGCACAAGGCACCGAATGGCTTGAGAAGCAGCTTTGGAAATTCTTAATGCAGCAAAAGGATCTGCTAACCCATTAACAAGTACAACTCTAATTGGTACTGGACATGACTAGAGAATCTACAGGGTTGAAAATACATTGAAGTCAGTGAAAATGAGTTTCAAAGCAGTCTGCAAATATAAAAGGCAAGGTAGAAGAAATATGCTATGATATATTTAAGGACTCATTCACTCAGGAGCTCAGCACAAACAACCTTTGTGAAAGAGGATTTCAGTGAAAAGCACAGTAAGAATAATGCAATTATTTTTCTGCTAAATATTGACCTGTTCGAGTATCAGTTTTGATATAAAGAACAGTTTGATCAGAAGACAAACTGTTGGTTATAGCTAATATGCTAAATCATCATACCTGGAGACTACGCACATCTACAGTTTGAAAGAAAAGATCACATCATGTACTGACATTCCCAGGCCCAGTTTTGTGACACCACTGATAGTGTACTAATTATTGGGGGAGAAACCCCACACAAGCCACTAGATGGCTGTCAAAGCCCATCACTCATCACGAGCAAGTGTCAAAGAAGTTTATGCACAGACAAAGCATGCAAGACACACCCTGCTCGGGCAATTTATACTGAGCTTGTTTTTCTTTCAGGTAGATTTCTCTTGAGGTTAATTCCACTGTTTAACATGCCAACAACAGGACAAGTGTTTTCGATGACAGCATAGGAAACCATTTCAATCTCACACCACCAGATACACGTAATTTTCAAAGCAACACCTGTAAATTCACTGCTGCTCGGTTTGCTGTTGAAAGCCACCCCACATTATTGTACCCTTACTGCTTTTATGAACTCCTGGTTCACATCATGCATGTGCAAAAGACAAGGAAAGACATGGAACGAGATAGAAAAAGAAATAAAGATGGAAAACACCACAAGAAAAAGAGAAAATTAGCAGGGGGGACACGGCATGACAACATCACAGTGTCTTGAGCAAAAATACTTTAAAGGAACAGGGTAAGAAGGGGAAGAAAAGAAAGATTAATCCACACATACAAACAGGGAGCCTTGCTGAAGCTTCCTCCTAAGGTCTTATTTTTCCTTGCAGAAAGATCCCCAAAGCTGCAAACTATACTCTCCTGTTACCCATCTCTGCTTATAGACAATCTAATGTGGGATCAGTCAACCACCATTACATCAGCTGAGGAGATGGCAGGTGTATGATGGAAGGGAATACAGCTCTCAATGCCCTACTTGGGGGAAAAACTGGCCTGAGCAAAACTTGCAGATACATAGGTTCTCTGCAGACATGAACAACTGTGGTTCACAGATGAAATGGTAAGTGACAGAACAGGATTTCGTGAGAAAGCAGCTCCATTACATTGCATTTTTACTAGTCCTACCAATGCAGTAATTAAAGGAGCCTAAAGGATGACAGACCTACAACAGTAGAAAACATAGTCTGACAAAGGCAGAAAAGATGATTAATGGTACTGAACACACAGTGCACTAGTTTTATGCTTTCTTCTGCCAAGAGGGACTTCTTGATACAGTGTGTAACCAAACCCCAATGCTTTTACACTGCTCAACATAAAAAGACTGGAACAGAGGAGCTGTAATTATTTAATGAAAAAGGGATAGAAACAAAATGGCTTTAAGCTGAAAGAAGGCATATTTATATTAGACATTAGGAAGAAATTCTTCCCTGTGAGGGTGGTGAGACACTGGCACAGGGTGCCCAGAGAAGCTGTGGCTGCTCCATCCCTGGCAGTGTTCAAGGCCAGGTTGGACACAGGGGCTTGGAGCAACCTGGTCTAGTGGAAGGTGTCCCTGCCCATGACAAGGGGGGCTGGAACTAGATGAGCTTTAAGGTCCCTTCCAACCCAAACCATTCTATGATCATCCTATGATGATGAAAACAGCTGGTGCCTTTAGCTTTTCAATCTCTCTTTGACATCCTGATGACAGATTATGACAAGTCTAAGGAAATAAAAGATTACACGGATACACTGATTTTTAAGTTTAAAAAACTCTAGAATATGAAAAGTCAATTTATGAATTCAATTTATAATTACAAAGTTTAATCTGGCTGACTTACAGAGCAGAGGTGCAGAAGTAAATCAAAGTGAAAGATGATACGTGCTAACAACTATTTTGCAGATGTACTGTTGTGCGTGTGTACAGACTGCCAAGAGAGGGACAAGAGGAGCTTGGTGTTAATAATCTTTGACTGTCAGCCTGTTGTAACAATAATGCAGGGCTTGATTCAGTTCTCATTAATCAATGGAAAAAAACTGCTCATTTACTCCAGTAAGAATCAGGCTGCTTGTTTTGTTTGTCTTTCGATAACTTTTTTTTTTGAGTGGTAATAAATGAAGCATTATCCAAATCACCATGCTGTGCAAATTATAATGTAAACACCAATTATTCTGAAAATTAGATACTTTTCAAGAGCTCTGATAAATACAAAACCTATTTTGCATTTGTTGCACAGATACAATTTATGTTTATAATGATTAGTACACAGTTTACGTAAGTACTTTATAGTTACATACACAAAGATGGACCTGGAAGCCCTTACTAATAAAAGGCTGAACTGATCCAGAGTTTACTTAATATGAAATATTTGATTCTCAAGATGAAATCAAATTTGCATTCAGACATGTCAATTCAGGATATAGCATGCATCTCAGTGACCTTTAGATAACAGCTACAGTACAACAGTGCACTTAAATCCAAATCACTCTGCGTTCTCTTGGAAACACTGACCACTAACAAGGTCTGCAGTACGTTGCTAGCTCACCAAGAGTTACAGAAGATGAATGTTCTCTCGGTGGCTTCAAAT